TATTTTCTAAGTCTGAACCTTGGGAATTCTGATCTAAAGCTGGTTTTTCACTTGGAATTCAAGTGAGCTTCTGGTTGGTTTTGAGTTGTTTATTTGGTTGATGATTTGAATGTAGGATTTTTTGTCATTTGCCCTGTTCACTCCTTCTTGTATTTATAAGAAATGTTTTTCTGGAGCAGGGTGATTCTTTTAATAATGGACGGCAAATCCTTTCAAAGATCTGCAAAGAGATACAAGAGAGGGAATGATTTAATTTAATTATGTCAGATAGGCTTTTATCAATCAATCTTTGAGATCACTTCCTTGTTTTTTTTTAAAAGAAGCCTAATTCCTTTTCCCACTTTAACTGCCCCTTGTGAGATTTCAACCGTGATGGTTAGTTTGATTTCCCAGATAAACAACTCTCTATCCTCCTGCTTTTTGGAAATATGGCCTGCGTATCTCTTGAAAGGGTGGTGCCTCCTTGGAGTGAAATCAATATTTTTGAATATATAAGAAGGATTTTGATCTTCTGGTGGTAGAAATTCAGAGAAGTCTTTTTGCCACTGACCTGCTTTAATTAATTCTCAATCAACTCAGTTGAGTTTGTTGACTTTTCCATTTTGGTAGTCACGTGGGTTTTGAAAACGGGTCTCTTCCTTTTTTCTTTTAATCATGCTGGGCCCATTCTGATTTGTCTGGAGCCCAAAGGTAACTGCTTTTCTTTTGGGGGCCCAAGTTTGCTTGCCACATTTTGATGAGTCTTAGGCTGGGCTTATCTGGATTTTGGGTTTTGCCTTCCGTTTTGCAAAACCACAAACTGCTTGAGTCCTGTAGCTTTTATTCTGGGCTTTCTCCGTGTTGGGCTGGGTGCATTTAATTTAGGCCAAAACAACTCCAAAATCTATAAATACCCACCCATTTCTCAAATAATCTACCAAAAATATTTTTTCTATTCCTCAATTTATTTTTCCTTTGTCAATTTCATTAATCACCTTTCATTCTTGTTGAAGATGTCCACAAATTCTCAAAGAGGTGTGAATTGGAGGGCAGAAGAAGACGAGGCATTGTGCAAAGGGTGAGTTTCCGTCAAGGGCACATGTGGCACATGTGTGGAGCCCACACATCCAATGGTATCAAGGGCAGAGCTATATAGGAACCAGTGTGGTCTTCAATTTGTTTACCTATATTATTACACTATATTAGATTATACTATATTTAGGATATTTACTCTAAAATAAACAATATATTAGGTTCTTTTGGTCCACAAATTAACCATTAAACTTCTTAATCACTCTTTGTAACATCCGGACCCAGCTTAATTATTCATTTAAATTAACTATTTTAATTTAATTATGAAATTACAATTTTACCCTTGCGGATATGGTTATTTTGATCACTTTTTAACCCGATGAGATTTTGGGGAAATGAATGGCACCATGACGTAGATTGCGTCGATCTAAGTCCATAGACATGTAGTGAGCTCAAATAGGAGTTGTAACGAAGAAGTTACGATCAACGGAAGCCTAGTGGCATAATCATAAAGTTGATTTTTTTAATACCAGATTCCTGTCTCTCCCCCCCCCCCCCCCCCCCCCCCCCCCCGGTCTCTTTCTTTTTCCTCCACCCCCCCCCCCCACACTCTTCTCTCCCATCTTGCCACCGCCACCACGTCTGGCCACCATCTGAGCCAGAACGAGTCCCAAAATAATCGGCCAACTCCCCTCTGCCCCACCTCTCAGCAGCCCTAGCCGCCAGCCGCCAGCCGCCGTCGCCGAAATATCTAGAAAACCAACCGATTTTTACTTAAAACTTCCACCGCTCTTTTCGGCGATTTCGGCCACCAATTTCTTCGATCTAGGTATGCTTTTTCATCCTCTCAATGTCTTCAAGCTAATGGTTGGGTTGATTAGGATCGAGCTTTGGGTTTTGGAACTCGATTTATCGCTTTAAAGTTTGAAACTTTCAAGCCATGCCCTTACATGGTGGAAGTCTTATCTAGTTGGAAGAATTTTAAATATGATGTCTTAGAATTGACTTGGAAGAACTTTAAGATACTTTTGAGAAAATAATTCTATCTAGTTGGCTATGAAGATGAAAGATGCTATAAGTGGGAACATTTCAGACAAAGATTTGGGCAGCCCGTACAAGAGTATACAACAGAGTTCCTCAACCAAGCTATGGTTCTGGACATCGACGTCGACCACTACGATATTTTCATGAAGTATACTGGAGGTCTTGCCAACTACATACGGAAAGAACTAAAATTGTTCACCATAGATACTATTGAAGAAGCTACTGTGAAGGCCATCGCCATTGAGGTGAAAAATAAAGGAACTGACAAGAAGGATGACATATCAAAACCTGTCAACAAAACTGACTGGCAGAAAAAGGGGAAGCAGAGTAGGGAAGGTCAAATACAGAAGGTCTACTGTGATCACTGTCAAACCAGCAGACATGCCAAAGACAAGTGTTGGATACTCCATTCTGAGTTGCGACCAAAACGCGAGAAAAACAACCAGGGGAGAAATGACAGAAAAGCCACCTTAACTGCACAATAGGCAGAAGAGCTTCCAAAGTGGAAGCAACCTGATGTTACACTTACCCTTATGACAAGACCAGCATATACTGAAGACACGTACAACCGTGAAGAGTTGTTTCATGTGAATATTCAGGTGAAGCAAGGAGTTGTACAAGCTATCATTGACCCTGGAAGTAAGAAAAACCGGATTTCAGAGGCTTTAGTAAAAAAAGTGGGTTTAGACACCACACCACATCCTAAGCCATACCCGCTAGAATGGATTCAGAAGGATGTTGACTTATAGATCACGAAGCAATGTATCTTCAAAATTTCCAGCCACCAATTTCTTTGATCTAGGTATGCTTTTTCATCCTCTCAATGTCTTCTAGCTAATGGTTGGGTTGATTAAGATCGAGTTTTGAGTTTTGGAACTCGATTTATTGCTTTAAAGTTTGGCAGGTTTTTGGCTCGTGTTTCCGGCAAGTTCCAGTCACTTTTTGGCCATGGTCCAAGATCAAAAGTTGCTCCACACATTTTCCTAGTCACGTAGGTACAGGTATGGTTGGGTGTTTCGGGAATTTTCTGTTCGCCGGAATTTATTCTGGGCACCCACTCGCTGCCCGCGCATGTGGTAGCGTGTGGGCACTGTTTGGGTGACCCATTTGGTCCTAAAATGATCCCCATATTGTCCCGAGCATGACGGTATGCTCGGAATTGAATTTGGTTGTCATTTGACTATCGATCGAATTACGCATATTAGGTGTTATCCGAGTTTGATATGTTCGGACTGTTGGATCGACTCCATTCTCCTATATGTTGATCTAGGCACCTCTAGGATCGTGCAGGAATTCGGGGATCTTGAATAGGATCCCTGAATGTTTCGATTGAATGATTTAAAGATTAGGTTAAACGGTAACCGTCCGATTAGGAGATCGCAAGCGATCTGACCCTTCGATTCGGACCAAGCTTGCAGGACATGTATAATAAACCTTGTTGAACCCATAGGAACTTTTGGATCCGGTTGAGAAAAAACGAGAAGTTTGACCAACAATTGACCACGGGTCTTTTGAGACCGTCTCATCCTTCGTAT